TAACATAAATTAGGCTATATTTTATCAAAAGTACTACAAAATGTCATTATTTAGAGTCCCAATCACATAACATGTCAAACACACATTAGCTTTCACTACACACCTCATCATACAATTCTTAGGTTGTACTGAAAGAGCAGCTCCCTTCACACACTTTTTTCATTGAGACAACCCTTTAAAATCTAAACCCCTTTCTATTATGAAACAACATCGAGGCTCTGTTTGGGAGCCATTTTCCCGAAATTATAATGAGAATTTCGAACGTTGGAAACAGTATGCTGCAGCCTTTTCGGCCGCAATAATTGATGAAAAAATGGCAGCCGTATTTGTACAAGTGTGAAATGTCAATAATGCACTGATTTGGGAATATTTAATGCAAATATAAGGGGCACTTTAGCCTTTCCATAAAACAATTTATTTGACCGATAAGAAGGTAGTCAAAAATATCCGCGGCAGTGGGGCCCCCTTTACTATACAACGTTCCAAATTCTCATTAAAATTTCCTGAAAATGACTCCCAAACAGGGGCCTAATCTTTACTTATCTTCTCAAATTACTCCAAGTCCTATAATCCCAACACAAAGTGGGGTCTCGGTCCTTTTTCCAAAACCGCGCTTTTGAGTCAATTCTTTCTGCCTCAACGAGGTAAAAGGCCGTAATTCTTATATATAAGATATCTTTGGAAGTAGCTAAAGGAAGTGTCCGAACGCATCCATAGAGACCAACGTAAAAAAGGGTTTAGACATGCGAGATTTTAGAACCGTGTACAATTTTTACAAGGCATCTCGGTATTTGTCAAATTTTGCACGGCATTTGCTTGTCATCATGTTAGTTCCCACATTTGAATTGATCTGCCTGGCAACCTCTAATTCTAATGCTGTTTTCTGTTTCTGTAATCTGATCATAGTCATTCTAGTTGTTGAAAATTCCAAGTCAACTTCACAGTACAATGAAGAGAAACCTGATCCTTCTCACAGTTTTGCCCGTGAAAACAAAGATTTCACAAACATGAAAAATGATTATTCTTCATGTGGGAAGGCGAAGAAATTGGCTGAAGCCGATGAAGCTGAAGCTTCATCTGCCGGTATAACAACTGATGAAGCATCATGTGTCAGTATAACAAAGATCGACTATGAAGAAATATGTTGGAATGAAGAAGAATATGTCAAGAATAAATTGAGAAGAAGAGTTGAAGAATTCATCGAGAAAACAAATACACGATGGAGGGTTGAAATGTTGTAAACATATTGTTTAGTCCATTGATAGTGTATCCCTGAATTTAAGAGTCTTCAGTGGTTATTCTAATGAACATTATATTGAAGAAATATCAAAATTAAGAACTTATTTTAAGAAAACTCAAAACAATTAATTGATATATAATCAGGATTGTGTCCATGGAAGAGATTGAAGTGGCAGAAAAAGGCTTGTACAAAAGGTCGGTCATTCGTACTCTATGAAGAAGGTTTACCATTTCTTGTTTATTTGGTAGAGTCAACTACATAGTACTAAATAACATTAAAGAATAAAACAAAAACAAAAATCATATATTATATTGTCTAATCATGTCATGCCGTTAATATTAAACACGTTCCATGTTATAAATGTGCAGGTTTTTTGCTTATTTTGTAATTAAATTAAGTGGGTAGTTGTTAGTGATTAGTGGAGCAAAAATTTGCAGCAAAAGTCAGTAGTAGGTAGAAAAGACCACTTTTTTCCAGTCTGATTGTAGTCCATAAACTTCACGAAAGTTAAAAAAAAAAAAAGAGCAAAATAGGACAAAATAAAGTTCAGTATTTCAATATAAGTAAAAATCACAATTAATTCCAGTTTCATGCATTTAAAATTCTACATCAAGTTACACAACACGATAGAGCATGAAGAGTATCTTAGAACAATCATACGAGTACAAAGTCCTAACCTAGATCCTAAAGGGGAGGGGGGAAAAAAGAGTTTGGGTTGAACCACGGGGTAACATACAGCCAATCGACATCTAATGGGGGGTTAGTGATAAGAAGCCTAAAAGTTCCATACCTGATAAAAACAGCTAAAATACAAACAAGATGAGCACAAATGACACTATCAGCAAGTAATTTCGTGGCCATGCTCCCTAGAATCTTCTCCTTGAAGTGAGGCATTGTTTTCAGCGTCGGTGCCCTTTGAGCCATGCATTGAGTTCACAGAAGTCGAGTTATCTCCATGGAAGGAAGCGGAGGAGGTCAAATTTGGCTTTGGTACACTGTAGACTCCATATCTTTCTTCAGATATAGGATTAGCAGGACTTTGGGTAAAAGTTATCGTGTGTTCATATTTTGGTTTCTTGGGCTTTTGCTCTTGCTGATGGCCTGGAATAAAGCTGCCTAGCACAACCTGTAATATGTACACGAAACGTTAGTGTTAGAAAGAGTAGCTTTTTGTTTCTAAACATGTTTAGATATGTGAATTTTTCTTAATAAAAAAGGTTAACATAGTACCACTTGATTTTCATCATTTAAAACAATTTTCACACCTGAACAGGTCCAGCTGCAACTAGCATGCCAGCAACTCCTCCCCCCATAACACGGCCATCTGGCCCTGCCAGAGAGACGCTCATCCCACCAGATCTGTTTTTCGTCAACCCATTATCGGTGAGCATAAATGATCCTGTCAAAGAAAGTATTTCAAAGAGGCCCTGCAGAAATCACACATTTTATTAATTAGAAACAGAAATATTCCACAACTCAACACAAATTTCTGAAATTTCTATCAGAGGAAATCTATGAAATTTTCAAATAAGTAACTCCCACTTTCTTTGAGATTTATATATTAATTTAATAGACACAGAAATCTCTCACCTCATAGGTCAAAGTACCACCCGAAGAATTAGGTTGACGCAGTGTAACATTTGAGATTGCACCACTTGCTGCCAGAACGCAAACTGCTCTAGACCCTTGTTGAGAAAAAGATATGATCTTCATTGTAACGTCCTGACAAAAAGATAAAACTAAGATTCAAAACATAAACATTAACAGGATGAATTGCACTTCCGTCTCAACTTCCTGATATTGCTACTAGTAAAAATGCATTCACAAGAAAATTTATGATACGTCTTCTCTTATGCACAGGATAGAATATAGGCACAGATGCAATTACTTCAAATATAATAAACAGTACAAATTATGTATCAATCCTTATATTCACTTCCCACACCTTCAAAGATCCCTAATAAAAATATCATGAATTTTAGAAATTCTCAATTTTTTCTGTCATTTAAGAAGTAGAGTACATAAAGGAGCTAACTATGTAATGGCATTAGAAAATGATGCTCTTGGCTCATGAGCATGCCACAGCAAATTGCAACATATATGTAAAAGAAGAATCAATAAAAGAACTTTGAGCAACATTAGTCGCCTTGAAGACTCTATAGGGAAAAAATTATAAATAAATAAAAAATTTACGAGAACACACTTTCAGGATGCACTCTGTTTCCTTATTCAGTTGAACAGATGTGAAAAAATATTAAAAGTATTATGTAAATCAAACCAAAAGAAAAAGAAATAGTCAAATGTACTTATAATTAGAAGTACCTCGCCAGCATTAACAGTAATAACATGAGGAATAAAACTTGCACCGAGAGAGTATGCCATTGATCCTCCTACAAATATAGATAAATGTCAAGGCATTCGATATAATGAATGTAAAAGTTCATTAAAGGCAAGGCATGATAAATTACACAAGCAATCGCAAAAAGAAATTTCTACTGATGGTGCACTAATAGAGGAAGTACGAAAAACAAGAAAACTGATATTTTCAAGCTTGAAATTTACAGGTATTAAATTCCGATCCTTGTTCCAACAGAATCGTGTTTTCCTCTGCATTATTGGCTCGTGTTAAAATAGGCTTTATATATGGACTTCCTCGTCGACAATATCAACCCTCTCTTTCTGAGAATGGAAATATTAAACCCATTTTTGGCGTCAGATGCACATTTTACACCATTTTGCCATCATTATTATTGAATACATGTTTGACAGGCAATACTAAACAAATTCCACTTTATAGTGAACAAAATATGTCCTCTTCTTTTAAAACAAAACTCCTTAATTCTCATATTCATTTTCAACCACACGTTCACATAATAAAACATTTTGCACATGAATCCAAAACTTTTCCATACTTTTTAATCACACATTCTTCAAAAGAATCACTATTCAAAACATCATTTTTCTCAATAATGGCCATCATACATGAGCATAATTTTCTTTTTCTTCCATTTTAGTGTCTAGTGCTATCCAATTCTCACTACCAAACATAGCATCAATTTCTTTATCCTGCAGTTTCCGAGAAAAGACAGATCTTGAATCTAGTAACATCATCTCAAAATAGATAGATTCCTCGATCTCTAGCCATCTCCAGCCGCAGTATCACAAGGATCAGAAATCCGCGTTCGGTAGGTACAATATCATATAAAGTTGGCCCGAAAACACAAAAAACACTAGAGCACCCCATGAAGGGAAAAGCATATCCAGTTTATGTACAGTTGCCATAAATTATAAACATAAGATTACCATACCCACATAGATTGCCTACACAACATTCCAAGTATAGTGCTGCATATATAATCTCAATACAACAGTAAAATAAAAACAAATCCTGACCACTCACTTAAAATCAATAAAACAAACACCAAATAAGTACCTTGACTCTCGATTTCCAACTTATGCTTCTTCTTGAAATGGTCAACGGGTCGGACTGCTCCTGGTTTCCAAGCTGAGAAATCTCCGGTAAAGGGGATCGAAGCCGATATCGGCATAGGTGACAAAGCCACCACTGAACCATCTGCTGCATACTTCCTTGGCCTTCCCCTCTTCTTCTTCACCTCCGTTTGTGCAGGCGGCACCACCGCGTTGACTGGTGGTGATGGCAGAGGAGCGGTGGCTGATCCACTGAATTGGCCAGAGTTTTCAACCCCTGGTTCCACCCTGTAGTTCTGTATAGCTTCATCACCTTTCACTGTGACTGCAGAACCATTCAATCCTTCTTTTTCCTCCATTTATGTATAACTAAGAAAAAAAAATCCTTAAAACCCTCGAAATTTAAAACCTAAACTAATTTCTTAAACACTGCTACCTCAGAAAAACAAAAGTGAAAATCAAATTTTTTTTTTTTTTACTCAAAACGATCAAATTAACTATAAAAAAACCTTATAAAAAGAAATTATATAAAACTAAAATTTATATATAAAAAAAAAAAAA